GCAGTATATATCATGATCCATTTTGGCTAACTGGCTTGCAATGGTTTCAAGTTGGTTGGAAATTTTGGTTAGCATATAAGGCTGTTCGTTTTGATCTTTGTTGTCATTAGGACGGCGGTAATTATAATTATGATCGTAGTCATCCGCCCAAGAACTGTGAGCATGGATACTTGCATCCAAGGTTTCTTCACCCTTGTTATTAAATGGTTGCTTGGGTTTGTTAGACTGAAAAGTAGGAGGGGGATTTGGTTTGTTAATTGGCTGTTTGGGAGTAATATTTGCAGGTTTAGAAGTTGTATATGGGTTCTTTGGGTCATTATTTTGTTTTAATGGAACTTTGTTAGTTTGATCCGTTGTGTTTGGTGTCGATTTATTAGGATTAAATTGTTTGGGTTTATTAATAGGGGCCCGATAATTACAGAATTACGCCAGTTAGAATCTTTGGTAGAGCTGTTGTGTTTGGCGGTCTCCGGGGGATGATCTTTTTTTCCAACAATTTTGTGACTGGTAACCAGGAGTTTGGTAAATGAAACATAACTTTGAGTTCAGGTCAGCCCAGATTAATCTTTTTCTATCAAGATAAAAAGTCTCTCCGTTTTTGGCGACATCCATCATTTCTTTGTCTTTGAAGTAAAAGATAGCATACTGAAGGTTACGATAGTTAGCACGTGATTTAGGGATGACCTAAGCGATAGCATCAATTGCATTGCCGATCGAAATAAGATGACGGCCGTTGGTATCAAGAGGTAAGTTCGTGAGTTTAAGGGAAAATTGGGATTTTTTCCTGATATCTTCATTCGACATTGTGCAAGGATGAACTCGGACAAGATCTTTTAGGATGAAGTAACTGTTAAGTTTATTTAGGGTGGTCATGTCTGTGTTTTCTTCAAAAGTGATTGTTGCTTGTTGCCATAAATTTTTGGTAGACATAGTACATTTGGTGATCTTTCCGAAAAAGGAGAATGTAGATCTCAAGTTTGATTCTGTAGTAGAGATCGGGATCTCTGTTACTCTGATCGACAAATCTGGAATGTATTTTGCGGCTGGTTTAGTGATCAGCAGTGAAAACGTGTCATTATCCAAAAAAGGAATTTTGAGAGTGACTGCGTGATTGGCTTCTTTGCACGAGGTAAATCCAATTTGAACAATTTTTTTTTTTGGGTCTTCAGGATGAGTGCGTACTGATGCACCAATGAAAGAAGCATAATGTGGTGCGAAAATGTCACACGCCTCATTCTGTTTTTCTTGATTGGTTTTGACTAGGAAGAAAAGTTCAGCGGCGCAGTAGGCAAAGTAAATTGGAGCTTCCATTTCTCGTTCAAGGTGAATACTACTTGCTTTATTTTTGTCATTATCAAGGCCGTTTTCAGTGGCGTCAAAAGCTTGGTCGATATCTATTGGGGCTTTTGGAGAGGACGAGGAAGTTTCAGGTACTTTTCCTTTGTTGCTAAGTGGACGAACAGTCGTGTCAAGTTCCATATCGGAGGACGTGACATTTTCTGAAATATCTTCTGAAGACGAAGCTTCAGTTGGTTGAGAAAGTTCAATAAACTGTTTCTTAGCAGGTCATTGCTGTTGGTCGTTGTTAGGGGAAGAAGAGTGAGTCTTGTTAGACTTGTTGTTGTTATTGTTATTTCCATTTTTTTTTCCAGTCATATTGAAATTGGAGATCAGCGGAAAGAGTTTTTATCAAAATATTTTAAGTTTCTTAAAAAGTTTTAGAAACAATTTTATACTTATAGTTTAAGGAATATAATTTAAAAAAATTAATTTTAATTAAATTTTTAATTAAAATTCTAAATTTATAATTAATCAAAATAATGTATTGTTTAAATAAAGATAAAATTCAAATATTTTTTCAGATTTTAATACATGTTGAAAATATTTTTTTTATATCTACCATTATATTAAATTTGATATTATCTTTAAAAAAATTATATAAATTCTTATTTTTTCTTTCTTACTAATCTGAATTATTAGATTATTAATTAAATGAACTAATTTTACTTTTATAATTTTTAAATCAAAATATAGCATTAATTAATTTTTATTTTTTTTTTTAGCTATTTCTCTTTTTTTATTATAAAGGTCTTATATTATAAAAATAAAGTATAAACTTATATTTTATATTATTCCTTTAAATATTATTTTATTATATTTTACAATACATATTGTAATGCATTTTAATTAAACTTTTAATAAATATAAATTAAATAAATGTTTAATTTACTATTAATTTTATAGATTTCTAACATTTCATTAGAAAGACTTAAGATTTTATTTCTTTCTTCTTATAAAAATTTAAGTAATTAATAGTAATTTATATTATAAAAAAATAATATATTATATATATTAAAATAATAAAGAATTTTTAAATTATATTGGCTCATATCGTCTAGTCACGATAAATTTTGTAAGCAAATTTTGATTTATTATTAAAAAATAACTATTAGTATTTCAAATAATATCTCTTCATTTTTATATTATTTGTAACCTGTAATTTAAATTAATGAAGAGATTTTAAAATTTAATCATTAATTTGAGAGAAATAGGAATTTAAAATCAATCTATTTCTAATATGCTTCACAAATTTGACACTCAAAATAAATGAATATGATTGGCTAATCTTATATGGCTCAATCACATGTAGTTATAGTCGGCATTTTTAACTAAACTATATTGAGATTAATCTTTTTTTTTTAAACAGCCGATAAAAATATTTCTTTTTATAAGCGTTTTTAATTTTGATTTTAAGAAAACTTCAGCATCACCTTATTTTCAATGTTTTATTGAGAGTTTTAACAAAAAAATAAACTGATTTTCAATTTTTATAAAATGCATGATTTGCACACTTTTTTATAAGAAGGGGTAAAAAAAAATCAAATTTTATAATTTTTATATCTAATGGAATATCAGTCAAAGTAAAAAAATCATTTAGTACTATTATCTTTAAAGGATAAGCTAATTATTACTGAAGATTCTCCATTTGAAGGAAATTCTGAAGTATCTTTTAATAATGAAGTTATGTGAGCAGATTCTGAACTTGATAACGAACCTGAAAATATATTAAGAAAGCTACTTCTTGATACAAAAAATATTAAACCTTCAAAATGGCTACTTCAATATACAGGAAATAGTATCCAAATCTGAAAAAGACACAAAACAACTGCAAGGAAAATGGTCATACAAAATGGCAATACTATTATGAAATTTTTTTTCCTTACACAGAACAAACCTGTTATATATGTAGATGATACTTATTTAAATAAATTAGAAGGTCATGATAATATTAATATAATCAGTTTATCATCTACAGAATCAGAAATAGAAAGTAATTCTGATGATGAAAATGAATTAAAAAAATTAATTCCTTTTATAGAAAAAAAACTTCAAGATAAAATTCTGTTATCTGAACAAAAATAGTGATTAGAAGCCATACTTCAATATTGTCAATGCTGTCAATTGAATATTAAAAAAATGAAAGCCAGTCTTTTTGTTGTACAACAATTGGGAAAAAATGAGTATTTTGCTTGTTAACTTCAAAAATGGACTTGTATATTAGTACAAAATCAAGAAATTCCTATTTTAATGCATAAAAAACATATTAAAGTTAAAAGTTTTCTTGATGATGAAGACATATGTTACAAGATTATTAACTATTTGCATATAAATAAATTTGAATTTTATTTATCAGATTTTATTAATTATGTATCAAATAATGTATTTCCAAAATTAGGCATTAAACATAAAACTAAAATTACGTAAGTAATATTTATTTTATTTATTTATTGTTTTTACAGAAATATAATTTAATTTTTTTTATTTAATTAAAAAAATTACAGCTCAGCGTTAGCTTTATAAGATAGATTTTTGATATAAAAAGTATTAAATATCATCAACAATTTTTTACTCAAATAGAAAGATATGTTTATTTTTATTTTTTATTTTTTTTTAATAAAATTTTATATATAATAAATTTTTAAATAGATATGAAAAACTAATGCCATATTTTGAAGGAAATGATTTAGAAATTTAAGTAAATCCTATTCTTAATGAAATGGATAAATCTCATATTTTTGTTACTTATGATAAGACACTATTTCATACTAATGATGGTTGAAAATCTGAATGAGATCCTGATATTGAACAATCATTTTGAAAAAAAGGATAAGGTCAAGCAATTCATATTAGTGATTTTTTATGTAAAACTATTGAAAGACTTAAACTTAATGAAGAGCAAATAAAAACTGTTGATGAAAATTTTTCACATAAAGCAAGAGTAATGATACATTCTGAAAAAAATCATGATGGTTATTGGAATGTTAAATAATTAATTAAACAAGTATGTAATAATATACTTTCTTTTTTTTCTTTATTATTTATAAAATATAATTCATTTTAATAAATTTATTTAATATATAGATTGTTGAAAAAGCTATTCTTATTTTTGAATTAACACATCCAGAAGCTATTGCTGTATTTGCTTTTGATAATTCTTCTTTACATGGTACTTATGCTTCAAATGTACTTAATGCAAAAGCAATGAATGTAAATCCTGATGGGAAACAACTAAAAATGCATAGTATAGTATTTAATAGATAAGCATAACATATGGTTTTTTAGATAATTAATCAAATTCTAAATTACAAGGAAAACTAAAAGGTATGTGAATAGTACTTTAAGAAAAAGGATTATGAAATGAAAATTTAATTGGATTTTGCAAAAATGAAATACTTGAGAGAAATTGTTGTATGAGACATATTTTGGAATAACAAGAGAATTTTGTAATCAATCTTGTTTAATTTGTAAAATAATCAAAAATTTAGGTCATAAAATTATTTTTTATCTTAAATTTCATTGTGAATTTAATTTTATTGAAATTTATTAGGGAGATGTAAAATGATATGCAAGAAGAAATTGTAATTATACTTGGCAAGGATTGCAAAAAACTGTACTAGAAGCATTGGATTCAATTTTTTTAAAACAAATTTGAGGTTATACATAAAAGCCTTTTTGATATATAGATGCTTATAGAAAAGGACTCAATGTAAAATAGGCAGAATATGCAGTTAATAAATATAAAAGATATCGTATTATTCCTCAATCAATTTTAGATAAATTTTCTTAAATCATATATTCGTTAGTTTACCTAATAAAAAATAATATAAATCGTGATCACGTAACTTTTATATATAATTTATAAATTTGGCACTTTTAAGTCACATGATTTTATATATTTATATGTAATTTATAAATTTGGCATTAAAAAAATAATTTACCATGACTAGACAATACGAGTCAATATAATTAATAATCTATGAATAATAATTTACAAATAATAAATCTATTAATCATTTTAAGATATTACAAATTTATACAATTATTTATAAATAATCTAATGAATATTTATAAATTATTATAAATATGTAAACAATTTATAAATTTGATTAACTATTTTTATAAATAAATAATCAATAAATATAATTATATACTAGTAATTATGTATAAATTATTTATATAATAGACTTTATTTATTATTAACAAAAGAAATTACAACTTCAAATATTATATGAGATTTATCAATTAATAATAATCTCATATTAGATTATCTTTTAAATGTGTTAAATAGTAATCAATAATAATTTCTATTTTACTTATTTCTTCTATTTTTTCCTATATTTTTTATACAGCCTGTTTATTCTGTTTACTTTATTTTACTTGTAATTCTTTTAACGTTTATAATTTATTTTATTTTTTTTTATTATTTTTATAGTTTATTTTATTTTATTATTTTATTACGTTTAAGTATATTTTTATTGAAATATATATCTATATTTAATTTATTTATAGCATAGCAAATAGTTAGCTATAGCAAATTAATTTTATATAAATAGAATAACTTTTTGCTCAAATTATAAATTAATTCTTTTGCAAATTTTTAAACTCTTTTGCAAGTTTCAAGTTATCAATAAAGGAATCAATTTAAATCTACACAAATTATTTTTTTCTTCAATGTTATCTTTTATTTAGGGTTTTTATGATATCTTATACTAACTTATTTTTAAGTTTATCATTATGAGTTTGATTAAATATATCTTAAATTCTAAAACATAATAAATTGTAGAGTTAATTCAAGTATAATGGATACCTGTAGGATTTAGAGAAAATTTTAAGGTTAAAAACTCTAATGTATAGAATTAATTGTCACAGCCTTTAACTTAGACATTAAAATAAATCCAGTGATATTATATTTTAATGTGAAATAGATTTTTTGAATTATAAATAATATAATACAATGATATAATATATGTTTTATTATTAATAATTATGACTAATTTAAAGATGGTGCTACAACTAGTGATAAATAAGTATTATGGATTGCAACTAGTTGCAACTGCTAAAAAATAAGCATCATATGGTTGCAACTAGTTGCAGTGTCATTTTTATGACTAATATAATTATTTTAACTATATTGTAATTGGCTTATTAATTTTATAAAGTAGTTAATTAATATAATTTAGAAGAGAATGCAAAACAGTCAAATAATTTATCAAATAAAAAAATTAAGTTTTAGAATTTTTATAAAATAATTTGTTAAAATTCTTGAAATTTGATTAACTTTTACATATTTTACACTTATGATTCTTTTATTCTTTTGTGAATTTTTATTGTTACTAAAAAATATATAAATAGATAATAAAAATTTTAGAATTTATAATTATTTATAAATCATTTATAAATAACTCTTTTTGAAAAAATAAATAAGATTTTAAAATTAAGAAATTTGTAATGTATTTTATTAATTAGGAAATAAATTTTTTCTTCAATTAATTTAATATTTTAAATAATTTTATAGTATCAAAAGTCAAAAGCAAAAAAAATTTCATATATTTTTACAGCTTCAGTCAAAAAATCAGAAATAAAAAAATTAAACGAACATTGTAAAGGGTTAAAAATATAAAAAGAATAGTGATCTCATCAAATAAAAGGATTTATGATTTGATAATTAGCAAAAATATATTGAAGGATGAAAGCTTGATAATATATAACAACAGATTTGCAATAGAAATCTAATAGTATATTTTCTTTATGACACGTTACAAAAAGAAGACTTGGCGATGTGAATTTTGGGAAAATAACAGAGTTCGTACTGAAAAGTTAGAAGAAACCAAGAAGGGAGACAAGAAAAAGGTATTAAAATTAGCTATGGATGAAAATGAATATGTGACGAAGCTCTGGAAAGCAATAAGAAAAGAAGAAAGAAAAATTTAACTCAGTAAATTTATCCAAATTACGAGTATAGAATTTTGTATTTATTATTGATGATAGACCGTATTATAATAAGCTATTGGATTTGCCTGTTTTATATTTACAGAGGTATGCATGTGTGATAACTTTATGCAGTTATCAGTGTGGTACGGGGAATAAGTTCTCGCACAATCTTTAAGTTATGTCTAAAAGAGAGGATAAGAAAGCAAAGAACTTTCTCTTAGTCTGTGTGGTAATGCACCTTAGTCGGAGTGCAATTGCTCAAAAGGGTAGGATTAAATCGGTATTTGCCTGGGGCGTGATTGTGATCGTGTGATTTCTCTCTCATCTCGAGAGAGAGGATCACAAAATGTAGTTATTTGTAAGGGTATATTCTCTTTGTCTTTGCCGGACTCGTTGGCTTAACTGAGGATAAACGAAGCTAATCTCCTGACGAATTCTATTAGTTTCGTGTAACAATTTTCTAACTACTTTCTTTGGAATTGTAATAGATGCCTTTGTATATCTTGGTGAAAAGTTTATATGTACATCTGTAATTCAGAGACATTAATAACAAAAAAATATCAAGTCTATTTTCACTATTGCGCCTATATTTTTTTGACATTAGTATATAAAATTTTCGAATAAGTTTGCCCATATCGGGTTTTATTTTTACAGTAACTCGTGTATGCTACAGCCGAAATGTGTGTTTTATTCGCTACTATCTAACCAAGAATAATTATTTTGGGATTGGCTTACACGCATGACGAAGGTGCATAGTCACAAGGTTGAGGATAATCAGTTTTACGTTTCATAATACGAAAATGGTATGTTATTTATTTTTTTGAATAAGTATGTTTAACATTCTATATTTGTAAATGTCAAAATCTTCAATGCATCATAGATACACAAGGGTGAATATACCAGTTATGTATGAAACAGATTTAATTGTCGTAATTTCATCATTTTCACCTGCATTCATTTTAGAATTACAAGAAAGATTTCCAAATCGACTCGTGATTTAATGTCTGAAAATTTTTAATCATTTGATTTGACCAGATGATGTGGTTATCATTGATTATGATATTTTTCAAAGAAATGGAATAATTATACTTTTAGGAACATTTATCAATTGAAAAAAAAGAAATTAAAACAAATTATACTCACTAATTTTCAAATAATTTTGAGACTTATAAATTTAAGAAGGATTTGATGAAACTTAAATGGTTAAAATCTGTTAATGACGATGATGTTGATTTATTAGAAATTTGATTTTGTCCGTGCATTAGAGATATGGAATTCACAATGTAAACGATGATTTATTATGAACCGGATATTTTTTCCGTTTAATTTTAAAAAAAAATCCGATAAATTTTATGTAACCGGTATCCTTTGTTTTATGCCCTGCACTCATCTACTTTATTAATGTTATTTTGGTTTATGATAAGTTGTGCTTGTATTAAATAGAATTTATTCCTTTTTTTTTTTTTTTTTTTTTTTTTTTTTTTTTTAAAACCAATAAAGAAATACATATTCAGCCTTGCTTTCTTTAAAAAAAGAAAGGTAATTAATTGCATATGCCATTTAATATCTTCATGCAATGGATGCGCAAATGAAAGTTCCGTATTACAACTATGAGGCAACCTTATTTTTATTTTTATTTTATTTGTCTTAACAACCAACCATTTAAGCGACTCGGTACGTTATGGCTGGACTCCTGCATTAAACTCTCGGTGTTGATTTACAATGTTTTTTTTTTTTTGAAAAGAATCAAATACGACCATTGAGAATTCAAGTTAACCAATCAATCAATTAATTAATTTATTTATTTGTAGCATATAATTTGAGATTAGACAGCAAAAAATAACTTCTTTTTGAAATTTCTTCAAAACATACAGTGGTTTTGGCATTCAGTGAAATCGACATTTGTGATATCACATGATCACGTTGATAATCACGTGTAATAAAAAAAGTTTTTCGTGCGTCGATCAATTTAATTTCACACTCTCTACTAAAAAGTAATAATGCATCCAACGCTTGGTTTATTCGCCAGTCAATTTACAAAACGTAAACCTATAAAAAGAGGGTTATTGGGAGATATTCGAGGAAAATATTTATACCCCATCAAACAAACAAAAATTACACCCCCACCACCACCAAAAAAACCAACGAAACCAAAAGAGGAGAAAGAAACGGTACCCTGGAGAACCCAAGCGACGTATCAACAATCATTAAAAGGGTTATATGGAGGCAAACATATACAGTTTGGTAATCAAATAAGTGATTTTGGTAATAAATCAAGAAGGACATGGAAACCGAATGTGCAAAGGGTTAAATTATATTCCGAAGCGTTAAATGAACAATTAATCATCAAATGCACCCCAGCCGCTCTTAAATATATCGATAGAAAAGGTGGATTGGATAGATATATGATGTCCATGAAAGATAAAGAATTAGGTAAAAAGATGTATGATTTAAAATATAAGATTCAATCCAAAATTATTGAAATGGATAAGGAACGAAATAGGTTATCCAGACTTGACGTTGTGAAGGAAGGGGATGAAGGGGAAACGGGAGAGAAAAGAATTTCCTAGGAATTTTATATTTTTTTTTTACGTTTTTGGTGCACGTTTTCATTTGAGAAGTAATATAAAAAAGTTGACTTTGAAAGATGTTTTTTTTTTTTTTATTAAATTAACTACTAAATAAACAAATAGTTTGAATAGATTATTCAAATTTTTTCAACACATCAACTCTCGTAAATTTATTTGGAGGATTCGAAGAAGCCGCCTGTTTTTGTTCTAGATCATTCCTCTTTTTACCAAATAAACTAATTCTTTTAAAAAAACTCTGTCTCTTCTCCTTTTTTTCTTCCTGCTGAGGTTGAGGTAAAACATAAGCTGTTGAACCTTCTAAAAAACTATCCCTATGTTTCAAATGTACATCATAGGTTGTGTATCTATGATTTTTATAACTTTGATAATTAAAAGTATTATCCGATAAACTTTGCGAAGAACCATTTATTTCTTCACTCTTCCTAAATGCGTTAACGGGAGCTACTTTTTCATTCACATTTTGTTGTGGTAAAATACAATCATATGGACTTTCATGATGAAATACTTTTTATCAAATCAATTTTTTTTTAAAAAAAGATAATAAAATAAAAAGAAAGATTAAAAAAGGACATAAAGGTTGATTTGATTATGATAAAAAAAAGCAATACCTTTTTGACTCTTTCCTTTTTTTTAAAAAAAAGAAAAAGGAAAGAAAAAAGAAAACAAAAAAAAAAAAAAAATCACTCACATCCAGCACCATATAAATATGATGTACCATCCAACAAATCAATATCGTCAACTTTGGATTTTTGTTGATTAGAATGTTTTCCAAGTGTAGTCGGTGTAGACTTATTTATTACTACTTGATTTGGATCATTTACTTCTTTTTCTACTTTGTCAATAAATGGGTTATCGTCTTTTTGTTGCCGCTTATTGTCCTCTTGTCTTGTTTGCTCAACTTCCGTTGTGTCAAAAGGGTTTAAATTATGCATTTGAGAATCTAGCTAGATATCTCGTTAGAATCTGAAGTTTCGATTATGAAAGTATCGAATGTCGAGGTAAACAAAAAAAACAATCAAAAATATGGGTGTAAAAAAAGTTGTTGAGACCACTAAGGAAAAAAAAAAGAAAGTCGTCATTATTAGTCTCGTATGGTATTTAAGATTTGCATCTTATGCATCTTATGCATCAAATATGCAACGTGCTAATTGAATTTGGTAGTAACATAAAGAAGCAATAAATTACTTTAGCAACACATTAGTTAACAGTTTTTTTATATTAAAAAATAATATTTTTGGCAGAGAATTGCTACCTTACAATCAATAAGAGTACGAATTAAATAAATAAGAAATAAGTAAATAAGTAATATACAAGAAGAATAATACATATATGGTAAACTACAAAAACGTCCAAAATAAGAAATTCAAAACAAACAAAAAAAAAAAAAAAAGAAATTACAAAAAAATTACTAAATTACATTTTCGAATCATAATTAACCTTTAAACCCAAATTATATAATAAAGAATAATAGTTGGTATATAAGATATTACTAACTACAAGGTATCAAAAATCTGCATTTTTTATTGACACATATTGTTCCGAGAGAATTTTATTATATGTATAAATATATGTATATGTATAGATAAATTCAAGAAACATTATGATACTCCAATATAGGGGCACCAATATCTTTGATTTCTGGAATGGTGCATCTAAGATCAAACGCTTTAGAAAGAACGATCTTAAAAATTTTTTGCACATTAATTGAATGTGAAGTTGAACAAAAAATTAATGGAGCCTTCATCGCACGAGCAAAGCGACGTGCTTGTTTTGTAATTTCTTCTTTTTCTTCCTTTGAAAAATTTACAAATTGATCATACTTTGTTCCGACCAAAAATGGTATCGCAGTCTATTACGTCGTTTAGGTGAATCAAGTTAGCCGATTATGAAAAGTTTTAAATTGTCCCTTTTTTCAGTCAAATATGAAATCATACCTTATTAAAACCTCTCGCTTGTCTGTACCATTCCTTAATACTATTTAGCGTAGACTTCCGTGATAAATCAAACATAAAAAGGATGGCGACAGCATCATTGCATACTAAAGGCAACATGTTTACAAACTCTCGTTGACCTAGATAATACACCCAATTTATAAATAAATGTACACACGGTAAATGTCACATGAACTTGCGAAAAAAAAACATACCACCAAGATCCCATATACTGAACGTTATTTCAGTGTTTTTTATAGAGATGGTTTTCTCCATAAAATTTACACCTAAATAAGAAAAGAATAGTTAAAATCGAACGTTTTTATTGTTATCATTTTCTTTAGTATTATTATTTGAATCATAAATACCCAATGTTTGAATGTAGTCTTCGTCAAATGAACCTTCTACGTATTTAACCATTAAGCTTGTTTTACCGATTTGTGAGTCTCCAACCATACCAACTTTAACGACAACACTACGAGAGAGAGAGGGGGAGAGAGAGAGAGTTATTTTTAAATTCTCGCACATTCTTCAATTCTATAAGCGAATATTCCAAATAGAAAATGTTTTATGTACCTATTTCTTTGAACGGTTTCGGAACTTTCGCTACTGCTCGACATTATAAAATTTTTACTTCTTTATTCGCAAAAAAATATAAATATATATATATCTATTTCCAAGTTCTTTTTTGTAAGAATATTTAAAGAAAAGGAAAATTAAAAAGGAATTTTATCTGCAATAAAAATGTCTGTATCCCAAAATAAGCTACCTCAAACTAAAACACGTGGAAAAATTCAAAATTAATTAATTAGGTTCGAGAAAAAGATTATTCTTTCTAAATTTCTTAAATATATCATAAAAATGCAACGCTGAGTAAAAGATAAAAATGATGAATTCTTGATTTTCTCTTTGTAATTTTTCCCTTCCTCCACAAGTATATATATATACAGAAAAATAAAAGTGAAAAAAAAAAAAAATTTATTAACAATAAAAGGAGCGGAAAGATTTAGTAAAATAACTATATTTTATATCTTTCAAATTTATCAAATTTATTCAATATCACGTTTTACATTTTAATCATCATATCAGAAAAGGAAATAAATATGGAGTTGAGAAGGGGAAAAGCGACAACCTGTTTTCGAACCAGGAGTATGCGCCAAGCCATAAGTAAACTTGTTTTATTAAGTAATTTCTCATCCCATATTTGGATGAGATTTACATCATAATGTATGTAAAGCAAATTATACTTTAAAAAGGGGGAGGGGTAAATATTTTTAAATCTTAACAATTGTAACCCTTTTAAATGAATTTTAATTTAAGCCACCAACAAAAAAATACGTCACCATCATTGAATGACCAATAACTTTATCCATGTCTAATATCTCACAAGCTGAAAATGAAAGACCTAGTGTTTATTCTGTTGCCGGGATAGTATTAAACATTCTTTCGGCCATAAAGAATAATAGCATCGATGCGGTAAACGAAATTGACGTGACAACGAATGAGGTGGAATTTAATAGTGATAAATTTCTTGAAGATACAGCAGTTGAGCAAACGCTTTGTGCCATATGGGATTTATCAAGTTTGGAAGAATACGCAAATATACTTGTGAACGAATGTCAAATTCACCGTATAATGTTAAAGGTATGAAATGCCTTTTCTATTTCAGTGTTCGTTCATGTGTTAAAAATAATAATAATAATATATTTTTTTTTTTTGTTTATTATTTTTAATAAGTTAATCACATCGACAGCACGCAATAGAACCAAAGAATTGTCGTTAGGTGTCCTGGCTAATTTGGCTTGTTTTCCTGATAAAGCAATGATTTTAATTGGGGATATGGATTTGCTTAATATCATCCAAGTCATTATCAAGGATGATGAAAATGAAGATGATGTACGTGTTTTATTCGAAGCTTCTAGGTATGAAGACTTTTACTAATCATTTTATTATAATTCCATCAACTAATTTAACAACATCTAAAAGCTTCGTAAGAAACATTTTGACGAATTCACCGCATTATAATTCTGATCATGAATCAACTCTATCGGAATTCTTATTCAATGATAATTTGGTGTCAAGATTTAATTATTTTTTAAAAAACACTTTAAATGATGATCTATTTTTCGCAAGTCTGGAAATATTAAATTGCATACTTTTTATTGGAATACCTGAACAACATTTTGAGTTCATGTCATTGGAAATAATTGAATGCTTCAATAATATTTGTGAAAGAATCAGTACTGTTAAAGACATTAGCAGGTTTTCTTTATTTTTATTTTTTTTTAGAAAAAAAAAAATATTTAATCGCTAACATTGTATTAATATTTTAGGAAGTTATTTATAGCAATCATTAATCTAATGAATATATTGCTTGAAACTGGATTGATACCACCCGACGTATTTGGTAAGTTACATACAATGATATATTCGCCTCTCTTTATTTATTAAACTCAAAAATCTCTTTTTTTTTTTTTTTATCTATATGCAAGAGAGGAACCATGGAACTTTATATCAATTACAACATCGAACCAAAGATGAATATTCCGACGAGGACGGGGATGATGATGAAATACTCAATCTGATTGAAACATTTAAGAATAAAATAGAATTATCTAAAAAAAGATGATGGAAAGTACATTCCCACTTTATAAATAGCAGGATTCCGGATTTTGATTATAGGATAATTTCTATTGAATTTAAGGGGTGCATGACAAACGATTAGCACTTTGTTTACATCTCGTATGACCATTTATAGGATACCCCTTAGAAACCCTTCAAGATCCTCATCCCAAAACTTGTTTTAATTCAACCCTTAAAAAATTCAGGTTTAATTGAAATTTTACAAGTCCAACACGTTTTGTTTTAAAATATTTGAAAAATAAATACATTTGTAAATAAGACGATTTTTTTAATATTGTCTAATATTTTTCCTTGAAACTACTTGCTTATGATCTCTTTTCCATTCATCGGATCTTTTCAGTGACTTATTTACTATATTCTATAAAATAAATAAATAAATAATATTAACCAATAACATTCTTGATCATCAAAATAAAAATACGTCTAAAAATACATAATTACAAGCATGTCCAAGTAATGTTGTAATTGTTTTTCGGTGCATAGAATTCCCTGATCAACAATCTCCTTAATTAAGTCATCAAATTGTAATGGCTATAAAGTAAAATAAAAAAAAAAAGGTTAAATACCATTTAAATATATACTAAATATATGATCTTCAACTGTTTACCTCATATCTTAAGATCTTCTCATAATACTTTGATATTATATAATTTTTTATTTTTCGTTTGGTATTAACTGATAATTCTGGGTAATCTTTAACGCAAACAATGTTATCTGATGAATTAACTTGGTTAGATGCCTTCATTAAGCAAACATTGGTCGGCAAAATATTTTCAGCATCCGATATAATCTCTTCATGATCTGGTGATTCATCTTCTAAATCTAAATAATTATTTCGATGTAAATAGTTCCAAATAAGGGCCAATTGATGAATCATGGCGGATTTGCTTAAAGGTTTAACTCCATATTTTGCCACGGCATTCTAAATAAAAGGTAGATAGATAAAAAAAATTGGATTCACGATAGCGGAATATTTTTTCTCAATGAAATGAATACACCTACCTTCAATTCGAGAGTTGACATCTTGTGATAATTTGGCATTTTCTTTGGTAAAGAATTATCAGGTGGCTCATTTACATTAGATTCCTCTTTTCTTTGTGCATTATGACCGGAAGAAGTGAAAGTATTATGTGTGCTCGTTAACTTATATTGTTCCATGATGGATTGATTTGCATGATTCTTGTGATTGTTATCATCTTTCGTAACTTTTTTTCCTTGCATTGTTTCCTTTTTTCTTCTTCTAAAGAATTCTAAAGGTTATTTTTAAAATGAAATAAATAAACTTTCAAAAAAAAAAAAAATTTTTTTTTTCTTTGTTTTCAACTAATTTACTAAATGGAGTATATATAAGTTCTTGAAACCTAAGTTAGGATGTGAACAAATAGTACATTCAATAATAAATTGTTGAAAGAAAGCAAAGGGTAAAGATGTAATGGAAAAAAAAAAAACTTTCAACGACTCGAAAAATTCAAATAGGGCCACAATTTCATTTTCCTTAATTGGTAATTCTGATCCATCGGCCTATTTGTCTTATTTGTCGTACAAAATGTCATACTGTTGATTCGTGCATGTTCACATGGCAAATAAGTCTAAATCACGTGTACCCCAATAAAAAAAGATTTTTATCATCAAAAAAAAAATTTTTTCATATTTGATACAACTCAATAAATATGGACGATACGACTCAAAAATCGAAATAGTATGTATTTTCATTTTCATTTTTTTTTTTTTTTTTTTCCTTCCAACCCTTTACATTTTGACGATTCTTTTTATAAATAAATATATATATATATTTTTTCTTTTTTAAAAATAAAAGTAAGCCGGTAACGGTAGAAAAACCAATTCCTTTACAATATGATCTTGCAATATTAGCCGGTTTTGATACAAATGCCTTGGATGAATCTCGATTAAAGTAAATTATCAATTCAAATTTAATCATTTGATTATCGCTTCATATATTTATATTCTATTCCATCCTTTTCTTCAAAGAAATGACGCGGATACCTATCTCGAAGAATATACAAGAGATGGCACTCAACTCATAATCAATCAAATATTTAAATTACCTGTAACGTCTTCGGATCTTGGTGTAATGGCTGAATTACCCGACCTTGTTACCGTTTTACCGCGGGAGAAACCTGTAAGGTTTATTGTTATATTTTAATTTATAATACATTGACTAATTTCTCTTTTTTTTAAAAAAAAAAAAAAAATTAAAAGTTACCAAAACCTAAACCTCCAACAAGATGGGAGAAATTCGCAAAGATTAAGGGTGTACAACATCGTAAAAAGAGTAAAATGATATATGATGAGGCTACTGGTGAATGGGTTCCTCGATGGGGATATAAGGGTACTAATGATGATGGGGCAAATGATTGGTTGATTCCCGTCCCCGATAATGCTGGTAGGTTATTTAATTGTATTATAATATCTTTTCTTTCAAGTAAAATTATATTTATCTATTTTCTTTTATTACAGATCCATTTGAAGATCAATTCACCAAAAAACGTGAAGTCAAAAAAGAACGCATTACAAAGAATGAAGCACGCCATAGAAGGAATGTTGAAGAAGCAGAGATTGCATTAAATCAATCAAAGGGTGTAAATGATGTTAATACACGTTCACTACGGAGAACTGAATTACAAAAACAAATTATCATATCTAAAACAGCTACAGCTAGCATGGGAAAGTTTGATAAACATTTGGAAGGGGAACCAAAATTGAAAGGTGTAAAGAGAAAGGTATTTAACATCTAAAATGATTTAAATTTTTTATTTCGAAAAAAGTAACAAAGTTTTCAATTGATTTTTTTTAAGTTTGAACCAATTATTGGAGATGTGAAGAAAGAAAAAGAATCAAGTTTAAATATATTAAATAAAGTTGTTGGTAAGAAAGGTGATATAGTTAATGTGAGAAAGGTGAGAAAATTTATTGTTTATAAATAGAAAAGCTTTGAGATGTTTGCTAAAAAAAAATTATTATTATTTTTGTAGGCTATTGCTAAAAGAGATCAAAAATAATGTTAAATTATATGTTTATAGACGATATATGCAAATATATATAAATAAATGCTCCATGCTTTCTCAATCAATATAAAATACGTCAAATGAAAATTTACATGAATGGGAAAAGTTCCCACAAAACAAAAATTTTTTTTGATTTACTGCTGCATTAAAACATCTTCAGTATCTTTATCTTCTTGTTTAGCCTCTATAGATGGTTCATTAGTGTCAATTTCCATTGCAACTGGTTCATTACTCTTGTCGTTATTATCATCTTTGGTTTCGGATTTAACATCGTTACTGCTATCGTTACTGTTAGCATTAACATTGTCTTCGGTGTTTTCAGTCGCTTTGGTTGTCGTTTCTTCAACTTGAGTTGAAGAAACGCTGGGTTCTTGTATTTCAGGTTCCTTTGTCGTCACTTCAGGTACTGATGAAACAGCTGGTTTAGGTGTAGTACTCGTCGATGATGATGAATTCATTATTGAAGGACGATCTGCCGAAGGGCTAGATCTTCTAAATGATGTATTTAAAACTTCATCAGCGAATGGACGAGATGATTTTGATATCTTGCTACGTTCTCGAACTGAACTACTTGATTTATGTGCACGAGATGATGAACTGCGCCCTTCATGTTCATTTGACGAATTTTTATGACTAGCGCGCGATTTGCGCGTTGAAGTTTCTCCCTTTCCATTACTACTATGATAACTCCTTTCATTTCGTCTATTTCCTTCATCCTCGGAATCCGAAAGTTCATTTTCCGGCACAACGAGTACATTGCGTTGTCGTTCTACAATATTAGTTTCATATTATAAATGGGTCATGTAAAATCTAATACTTTTATTATAAACATAATTACGATGTTATACTAACGGGACATTCTTATATCCGGATTTTCGTTATCTTCATCTTCTTCCGATTCATAGTCTTTTGGAACATCTAAAGAATGTAGAAATTGCAATAAACGTAAAATTTTTTATCAAATAAATTTAAAGATAACTTACGTTGCATTTGAACACTTGGTGCAAAAGGAATGCTTCTCAAGTTTTCAAATACCTTTGCTCTAATAATTAAATAAAATAAAATAAAATAAAGGAACTATTTCATATATATTTTTTTTTATATATATATATTCTACAAGATAAAAATTCTTGTGATAAATTAAACGAGGCTTACTTCATATCGGCTAAATAAGCCGGTGTATTCATATTTTCCATATTATTAGCTGGAACATCTAATTTATATTCAGGACCATAGTAATCCAAAAAGTTATTAAAAGGTAGATCTTCAAATCAAAAAATGTTATTAATATTTATCAAGTTGATCAAATATAATTCTGTATTAAAATAATTACATTCACTTAGGGTTTCTCCTAACAAAAGACCAGTCTCATATGTCCATGCACGAGCCACATTGCGTATGGTATATCCACCCCCACCAACGACCAATAATGGGAGATTAAAGTCTTTAACAAAGTCAACACAAGCAGCATGTCCTTTCATTGACAAATTAAAACAACCCAATCGGTCACCCGCAAGTGAATCTGCACCACACTGCAAAACCACGGCTCCCGGCCGATACCATTCCATAATATGTTGTACGACCTAGTTTATATTAAAATCACCGATAAACAAATAAATGCTGAACACAGAGATATAAAAAGATTCGAGATTTACATACCGGTCGAAATACATTTTGAAAATTCCAATCGTCCATACCATCTTTCAACGGGAAATTAACCGCGTAATGTTTCCCAGAACCAATTCCAACATCCTAAAATGTAAAATAGTACTTTAAAATTATCGAAAAGATAGAAATTACAAACAATGTTAGTTTAAATTTAAATTTACCGAGACATCGCCAGTTCCCGGAAAAAACTGACCAAATTTATGGAATGAGCAGGTCAACACACGATCCGTCGTATAGAATGCCTCTTCCACTCCGTCTCCATGGTGTATATCGATGTCAATATAGAGAACGCGTTGATGATACCTAGTATTACAGAAAAAAAAGGAAACGCGTGTTTAAATCATTTCAAATCATTATAAAATCTTAGAGGCGATTCTATGACTTACCGTAATAGCTCCAAAATAGCTAGTACTATGTCATTCACATAACAAAATCCAGATGCTTCAAATCTTTTGGCATGATGGAGGCCTCCGGACCAATTAATCGCGATATCTGATTCTCCACTGGTTAATTTATTAGCAGCATCTACATGAGGAAGGCCATTTAATACTGCGAAATTCATTACTGCGTTTATCATAATTTAAATTTACCAATTGAACCGCCAGCTGAAATTGAGCAAAACTCGAAAAGTCCTTCAAAAATTGGACAGTCCTCACCGACATTAACTTAAAATTTCAGAAATAAATCAGAGAGAATGTTTAGAAAAATAAGTCAATAGCAAGCACAGATGAATAGAGTAAACATACATCTAGTTTGTTGCATTGATAATTCTTCAACATTTTGAGGCGTGACTCTATACAAAAAATCGATATATTCGTCCGTATGGAATCGCGTCATTTGTCTCGGAGTAGCGCGTTTTGGACTCTACAAGGAAAATAAGTTTTAATGAAAATATTATATTTACTTGAATTAAAGATAACACTTAAAATGTATTGATCCTATTAATTTTCAACTTAATAATATAATCCGTAGCATTAAAGTTGAAAAAGAATATAAAGGATACGAGAACTTCCATTTTTTTAAATAAATTATAGTTCACAACTAAATCATGAACCATACGCATGCGGTGCGGTTTCATCGGGTGACCTATGAAAGTGCAAAGATCACTTTATTAGTTTTAGAAACAAATACGTGTAAGCGCGTGAATGCAAGGCATGAAAGAAACTATACCTATACCTTGACCGTAGGTAAAGTTCCCAACGTCCTCTAAAGAAAATTGCAAAAAAATTATAACGTTTAAAATAAAACCGAAGAAATCTTTCAAATAAACCGCGAGCTATACTTTACCATCATAAAAATAAGAAACACGTTTTTTAGATTTAGAGTGGTGTGCGAGGGTTGCCATGGTTAAAAAATTTTTATTGACGGTTTTTTTCCGAAGGTGTGTATTTAGTATTTACGAAAAAGATTTTGGCATTTTTTGGCATTAAACCTAAATATCACGTGAGCATGCATGAATTATTACACAAATCATATGATTTAAAATGTTTGACGATTCTCTCGCTCAATGAACCATATTTTGATATGGACCTTGGTACAGAGATTAATGCTGAAGAGATTAATGCAGAAGGACGTAATTCTCGTTCACCAGTTCATAGATTGAAAGATAGCATTAACTCTTATCTATTTCCTACCTCACGCAGAAATTCACCAATACCTATTAATGATGACACTGAACAGGAAAGTAAAGTAGACCAGTTAAGAACGTATCTAGAGGAGCTGGGTCATCCTTTGGATACTTATCAAATAGAAAAACTTTTAGAACGAAATGCATGGGACGTAAGGGAAGTGGCAGAATATTGTAGTGATCTAAGAGAAGCTGAAGAAGGGATAATAGTTGATATACAAAAGGACATAGTAATGCTGGGGTGTGAGAACGACCGTGTGACTAGCTGTTACATAGGTATGGTTATTAATTATTTTACATATTGAATAACTTATAAAGTGTGCTCCCCAATTAAACATTTTCCTTACACAGATAGTGTTTTATTTGCAATGTTTGCACGAATTCAATCCTTTGATGGTCTTCTTTTTGTACATGCAGAAGGGATGAATGCGCGAAGTTTACAAACACAATTAAGATTGTTTGTGAATAGGCTTCGATCAGGCAAATTTATGAGTGCTTATATTATTAAGGTTAGCCGAAGTATTAAGATTAATATGATGTGATGTTTTCGATAGTTATTTTCAAAATTGATTTGCTGCAAATTAATAGCAATTGCGTGAAAAATTAATAAACTGCGGGTGGATTGGCAATGATGATGGTGGAAATCCAACACAAGAGGATGCTAGTGAATTTTTTCTATTTTTGTCTTGTCTTTATGAACTTCCTTATTTACCTCTTGGGATGCATTTATTTCACGGAGCAATTGCTGATCCAAATGATGAGCGTGTCATCACTGAACGGTTGATCCAGGTTGCTATACCTGGTGATCCAATGGATGAAAAGCCTGTTTCTTTGGAAGAAGCATTAGTAAATTATTTTCATGACAATGTAATTTCTGGAATAAAAAGAACTTTTGATAATGAATTTGAACAATCAGAAGTTTCTGCTTGGCAAGTTTTAAAACTCTTGCCATTCTATTCTGCTAGTAATGAGCAAGGTGACTTTAATAGCTATTTGATTAATCATTATAATTTACATTTGATGATTTTATGATTATTTTGTTTTTATTTTAACAAAAATGTCTCTTTAGGTGAAAAGATAAATGCAGTTGAATCACATTTTCCTGCAACTAATTTAATATTACCACTTGTACTTAAACGTTATGGTTATAATGAGAAATTGCAACCATTTCGAATAAAGAAAAATGTATATATACCACCTTTTGTCAACTTTAATGCTTTCGTTAATTCGGATGC